CGAATGCGTCGTGTCGGGTACTTCTTCCAAACCGGGTCCTGGCGCTCCTTCAAGAAAGCCTGGCTCGTGGTTCACATCGAGTGGGTGGTAGATTGACCATGGCTCCTGTTGGAGGTTTGCGTTGAAGGGTGTCGTGTCGAACTGCCTAGGACCAAGCGGGTAAGGAAACGCGCCGCCCTGTTCGAGAGGGTATCCTTGATCGACATGCCAATCACCCGGGGCACCAAATGGGTTCATCTGGTAGTTCGACACATCTGGAACAATTACTGAGTTTGGGTATCGTTCGTTCCATGACTGACCCTGCTGTGGACTCCTTTCCGGCTGCGGCCACATTTGTGGCTGGTACTGTCCTAAGATAGCAGGATCCATTGAAGATAAAGCCGGCTGGTAGGAGGGCTGCAGATTGTAGGACTGGAGAGGCAAGCCGGCGAGGTTGTCTTCGAGTGCAAAACCATTACTACCAGCGTGTAGATCCAAGCATTGCTCGTCATCATCGACGTCTGGGTATCCATGATAAGGCCGCCTCGCATACGAAGAGCGCCGATACTGCTCGTGTGAACCCATCTTATCTCCGACTTTCGTCAAGATGGTGATGTCAAGAGGAAGTTGTCACAGCACGTTTCGAGATCTGCCCGAGGGGTCGTTTCGCGGTGTTCGATGTATGCCAACAAGGATTGACGGGGTGCGATGCGGTTTGGGGGCCGGTGCAATTGCCAAGCCGCTTACTTGAGGTCGCAGGGTGCGCGGAGAAGACACCAGTCCGATGAACGATTGGAGATGGAAAGATAAGGGGGCGACGAAGTACCGAGCCCGTCCAATGATGTCGATGTCTTAACGCCAGGTCGAGAGCCTCGTTCGCTTCACGTCGTGTGGTCGTTAGGTCTGCACACGGCAGTGATGGGCACGGATTTGAGTTGTCCACTAAAGAAGAGGTATAGAAGAAGGTGTGTGGTTGTTATCTGTTGGCCTCGCTGCGTCGGAGCCGTCGTCGTTGAAGCTGATGAGCCCGAAGTTGACGAGCCAGTAGAGGTGCAGTGGGAAGGCCCTTCGTGATACGGCCGGTCTTTCGAAGAGCTTTGCTTGTTGAGGTTCTGTTCCTTAAGCCCAAGACTCCGCTCGGCAACGGTGTGGTCGCTCGTTGCTTGCAGCAACCTTTATCTTGGACTCGAGGACGATCGGCAGGTATGGGAAGCGAAGTGCGTGGACTTGCAGTTGACCGAAGGCTTGCAAGAGGAGGAGGTCAAGAGGAGGCGTGATGGTCGTATATGGAGGGGGCATACGGATGATATGTGCTCGGATCTTGTTCCTGCTGGAGGACTACCGTACGACGATCGGACACACTATGCAGTTAGCCCAAGACGTACACATCAAGCCGAGTCATGAATAGGTACGTCGGCACTATGGACAGCGCAAAACGTCTCTAGTGGAACGAAACAGTCCTTCTGAGGTTTGGTGTGGCTCTGCGACAACATGGATATGGCCAGAGTCTAAGATGTGGGCCCGACGTCCGCTGTCAGTTGTATGCCTGTTTGCCTGTTTCGACAAGGAAGGATGGCAGGTGGCGCTAGCTTCTGGTATGCTCGGTAGCTACCCCTGATGCTTTCAGCGAGATTGCCCAATCCATTGCGACAAGTCGAGCAACCACAGTGACGTGGTGATGAGTGGTCGTGAGGCCCGGAGCCTTGCCCTTCGCATCGGATTTGACCGGCGCCTTCCGCACCGGGGCGCCTTCAACAGTCATGTGTGTAGGGCACATGTACCAGATTGAGGATGATAAAAGCAGCGACAGCAGGGCTGTTGACGTACGCAAAGGCCCGCAGCGAGGCCGACTGCTAGGTTGAACCGGACGGCGCGAGAGACTGGATTCACAACGTCGGGCCCCAGGCTTTTTGATCCGCGTAGATTTTCAGACGTCATCCAGCGCCAATATGGGGAAGGGTGCGAGGGTGCATGCATGGCTTGCAGCGGCTCATCATCGCGTCTCTACGCACCCCTCGGCGCGGCACTTGAATCAGCGTATTGTACGGGCCTCTACATGCCAGAGTATCGACTGGCGCTCTCGATGGATCAAAACAAAAGCCGAACTGCAATCACTACACAAGCTATTCTATGCTGGCGACGTAATAGATTTGCTACTGCCCCGGCAGCTGGCTTTTGAGCGGGACGATTTGTATACGAGTCTCAAAATTGACTGTGGATACCAGCTGCAAGCGCTGTGGCGTTGGAGACCCTCAGCTCAGGGCTGGTCTGCCGCCAGGCCACCGCACCCACCTCGCACGCGTTGCGCGCAACATGCACCGCATGGTTTCTACACATAATTGGACAGGAAAAGTTTCTTCCGGTACCAGACAGAAAGGGTGCAGGCTCAGTTGAGCAGTGCTATCACATCCAGCGTTCAATCTGTGAGATGTGAACGTTGCCAAAACAAAGAAAGACCGTCTGCCGCCTGTGCTCAGCTGCAGACGCACCCAACACTCATCGCTGGACGAACGGGCCAACAACGACTGCAATTCATCAACATAGCATGCCGTGTCACCATGTGAGCTGAGCATGCTAATGCAAGCAGGACTTGGCGCCTGGCAAATACCATGGAATAATGGCTAGTCAGCACTCATGGTATTTGAGCTTTCCTGGACGAAAAGGGTGTCTATCCAATTCTTCCGCTCCCTGCGATGCGGCCGAGATGACCTCGGGAACCATATTTTCTCCGCTTAGGCTATGTTCATGGGAATTTGCCGCGTGACAGGTTATCGCTCCTGCGAACTGGGTGTTGAGTCCAACAAGCGAAAAGGTCATGCAGTTGCCTCGGCCCCGCATGCAGCTACAAGTGTGCACCCAGTGCGTTTTCATCGCGCCATCGTCCAAGTGGAGATTGGACGTCGATAGCGCCCGGGCCTATCTCTGTGCCACGTTTCCATCACGTGATGAGGCTCTGCGCGGACCAATAGGAAGACAGTATCACCACTACCCCCGCGAAGAGCTTCAGCACCTCGCTATGTCGTTAGATTTCTGTGGGCGGGCGGGCCGATGCGATAAGGCTTCGGCACGGTTGGAAATAGACCATCCGGTGTCTGTTATGTTGCGCCGCGTATTTGCAGCCCATCTGCGCAGCTAGTGCTCACCTGGGCATGGCTGCCCCCGGGGTATCATCACTCTAGCCGTATCAATGGACGGCGCCTTGCCATCGCCATCAAGCCGCTGGCACACAGCATTCCCGCCGCTGTGCAGCTCGTAGGGATCGTCATTTTTGTCCCTCGACTTCTGACATGAGGGCTTCCCAAATCCTTGACCAGCAGACCAAAGCGCTCTAAACCTGTCTGAGGGATGGGTCTACCTCAAGTGGGGTAGCCAGGTCCCAAGTCTCTGGAAACGCAGTCTGCATAGCCTTCCACGGCTAGCTTACTACGCCTCTTCAGCTGAGAGGGTTGGCACAGGGCAGTTTCTGCTACTGCCCTGGTGCTTTAGAGAGACGGCCAGTCGCACTTGCTCCAAGATCACTTGCTGCAACGGTGGTAGCTGCTATTGCAAGATGAAGGAATATGCCCCGTACCAGGAATGTTCAGCTCTGCAGGGCACGATTTTACCCGGTGCAGATCACCAGAATCCACACTCATGTGTACCGGGCCCAATTTTGACAGATGACATTGACTAGGAGGGGTGGCGATGCTGGTTTGTGCTTCGTCCTTCTTGCACGCAAAGTCGCTCGGTACAGGAATAAGGAATCGAAACCTTCGCAGCCTCCCTATCGGACACACAAACTCTCTATCTGCATGGCAGTCAGATCAGGGATCTGTCAGCCGCGAAGCTTGGTAACAAGCCCAAACAGTCATCTCGCATGCATATGCAATGATCGGCTTCTGTCCTTCTTTTACGACGATCCAGTACACATCACGCGTGCTCAAGGCATCGACTCTATGACTCCGCCTGCGCGGCGGTGAAAGCTTCACCTGTGGCATATACGTATCATCCGCTATGGCGATTGCTGGTGATTTGGAAGCGGTGGATGCGTTGGCATAATCAGCACGAAGCACGGCGTTTATTTTGGTAATCGCACTTCTGATAGCTCCCCGTCCCAAGGAGTCGGGAATATATCAGCCTCAAGAGCCGGCTCAGGCTTTGCGCACCAGTAGCCTATCGGACCAGCTGTGTATACCATTGATCAACGACGGGTACTGTACCGGACCGACTGAACTCAGAGGACGGGGAAGACGCAAAAAACAAATCAAACAGAACCCTGCAACGCGGTATACACGGTACATGTGATCTGTCGTTTGCGCCCTCTTGGGCGTGCACGGCCACGGATACAACGGCACCGCAGCGCAAGTGGCAAATGGCAGTCATCTGATGAGCCCTAGTACCGAAAAACGATCGGCTGGCGAAGCTTCGTTGGTCTCACTGGCGAAGCTGGGCTCACGGGGCTCGAAGGGCGAGGGTCTGCAAGCGCCGCCACGTGGGACTGCTGCGAGACGTTACCTACCGTGTCGGATGACGAGCGCGCTGCTTTAACACCTGCATCTGGTACCCGACATGGTAGATGGGACGCCTGATCGAGCTCACGCCATTCTTCGTTGTGTTGGCTTTAACCGCACTGGTAGATAACTCCGCAGAGCCGCATGCTTCTTCGATCGTTATCTCCGTTGTCTGCGTTGGCCTACCCCAGATCTTGGACTACTAGGTATGGGGCCCCTACTGGGCTCCAGACTCCTCACTGGCACGTCAGATTGGGATGTCACAGTGGCCAGATGATTGGTCGCGTGCATCCTGATACACATTTTGATCATTACACTTCTAGCTACGAAGTTAAAGACGCGCATATGCGCTGAATTACATGAAGAGCGCCCCAGCGCAATAAGAGAACAACCAGTGCGCCCCGAAGAGGGAAAAGAGAAGATGCCGCAAGCAGCTGTTCATACCACCAGGGTGGGAGAGACCTCAGCTCTCGATCTGCACTGCAAGGTATCCATCGTTGCAGTCGATCATTATCGTCGCGACTGGCGCAACTACTTCGTGCGCTTCTTGGGCATTGCGTCAAGGATACGATGCTTCTTCCATTCGTGTTTGCGGGTCGCATCGGTCCGCTTGTAAGCCCTTTTGCAGACACGGCACGCGGATCCGACTACGGCAGCAAATTCGTTGTGGAAGGCAAGATTATGCCGTCGCAGGTTGCCTTTTCGATACCTGTAATCCTGTCAATACGTTTGCATGAGTGAGTTGCGAGAGGGCGAGGCCTACCTGCCACGGAACGTCTTGTCGCACTGATTGCAGTGCTCTAGCGGAAAGTCGATTTCGCTTTGTTCCGGCCGCTCGCAAATTTGAGGATATGGATGGTCGTCAAGTTCTACGAAGTTGGTCGACGGTCCCTGGCTTTGTCCGAAGCGTTGGGCGATTTGTAGGGATCGCGGTTGATTAGCTGTCGATTTCTGGTAGTTGATGTGCCCATCCTCAGCAACATCTTGTTCATATCCGCCGCGGAATTGCCATCCCTGATGGTCGGAGCATTCATAGGTACCGAAGCGGATACCAGTGGTGCCATGCCACTGCGAACGCAACTCTGGCAAGGACTGGCCAAGTGCATGTGGTGATTGGACCCCAGGAACATGCGACTCATGGTTTGCAAGACTGAACGGTACCGAAGATCCTATCGGGTCATCTTGCCGTCCATCAAGACCTTTTGCCGGTTGCTGCGCGATTGCTCGGGAAGACTCCATGTGACTTGCTTCCATCGAAGAATGGTCCCAGTCAGTGTTCATTTGAAATGACCTAGGCAAATCGAAATCGTTGTGTGGGAAACTTTCAAGAGGCGATACGGTGCTAGCGGGGCGACTGGCATTCGAATAGATTTGGGCGGAGCAAATGCCGTTGATGTCGGGTGTGACAGGCGATACGGGCGACGGCGACGACTTGTGAGATTGCCGCCCACTGATCATACTGGGCGCTGAGACAGAGTGGTCCTGGGTGTTTAAAGTCCACATTAACATTGGCGCGTCGGGAGTTGTGAGGGAGCGTCGCACCGATGTCGCAAGGCATTCGTTGATCTCGTCAAGATCTAAGAACGACGCTTGACTCGCGTCGGACTCGAGAGAATGGTCCTGGGTTCGCTCCACAAGCCCTTCCAGCTCAGCGAAGACATGGTCTCCTTCAAGCTCTGGAGACAGCATAAGCCTATCTGGAAGTTCGTGGAGCGGCATTGCAGGAAGTTCATATCCGTACGGATATCCATAAGGTGGAGGAGCCTCGTCGTGAACAGCTTCCGCATACTGTTGGTGATCCATCCGGTAAGTTCGTACTGAGACCCGGCAGAGCTTTCGTAAGAACGTTCGGCACCTGGAGACTGTGGTGCTACTAGGATTCCTTGGATGACTTGGAACTGACGAGCTTTTGGTGTCGTCAACTGGCACGGCGATATTAGAGCGGCTGCAAGCACATGAACCTGTGCTTGACGTCGTTGTTTTGTCGGCCAAGCTATGCCGAGATGTCGAGATGCTGAACTCAATCAGTAAAGTACACTTCAGCTGAAACACTAGCCACTGATGGGATCTTGGACTCACGTACGTAATGCTCCAGCGACGTTTTGCTTCGATGTGAATGAGCATATTCGGATTGCGGGGGTGATCTCGAAATTATGTGGCAAAGAGCATCCGCAATACTGAAGGACTTTATTGAGTCCAAGTACATGCAGACGTCATGGCCAGGAGGAATCGTGTAAGTTCCTTCAGGACTGCCGACTCCCACCAGGACCGCGCGTTATGAACCGGCGGCGCGACAAATGCCTCCAACCCGGAAGCCCGATGCCATTGGAAGGACAATCCAGAAGCCCGATACACCATGTCGCTGGCAGTGGCCTCGATCTCGAAAGATCAAAAGAAGGCAAGAGGTCTGGAGGACACTGCGTCGCACTAAGAAGCCCTGAACTGTAATGTATGTGTACGAGCTTGTGGACAACTCAAGCAACGGCCAAGACTAGAACGCATCCCAGCTTCGACACTATCGGCGTCGAGTGATTGGGTACAGATGAAACGTTCATCTATTCTTGTTGCCTCAGGCCCTTGGATGACTTGGGCCATCCAGCTGGTGTAGGTCCATTGGCTGCGTCGGCGAGCCTACACATGGCAGGATAGAAGGCGACGCCAAGCATTGGTTCCGATGTGGAGGAATAGGGTAGTCGGTCATAGTCGAAAAGGGCTTTGCCCTCACCGCAATCCAGAACAAGAGACGGGCAATAAAGATGGCGCTAACTTTCGGAAAGTGAAGCGGGGCTATCCCTGGACACCGGCGGCGAGCGATAGAACATGCATCCCGGAAGAAGTGTGCCGGCTACTTTGATATGTTGTTCGCTGGCGAGTTCGAGAGTCCGGCAGGAATACGCGGCGTTGTGAGCCAGTTTCCGTGGCGGGCGTGGGGGTTGATTGGTCGTCGAAACCGAATTGGTAAAGATGCGGCTCTGTTCGCAAAAACAACGGGGAACAACATCGAGGTTCTGGAAGCGCAAACTTCGTCAAGAAAGTTAGAGGCATAGCTTCAGATATATCCACCTGATGCTCGGCCTTCGAAACTGTTTTCTTTCACAGCCGCAACGATGGGGCCGACGGATTGCCAATTCAAAAGAGCACTACAGGACAGAATCTTCAGAATCAGCCTGGGAGTCTGCCTCGAGAGGGAGTCTGAGCCACACTGTCGGTGCCCCAGCGACTGCCGACCGGTGAGTCTACCGGCTTTGATAATCGCCAGACGAGCCTGTAGTCTCAACAGATCTCAGACATCGGGAATACGTACTACACGCTCAGTCACCAATGACGATGACGCATCAGGCCCCCAGCGAACCAGCATCTTTTCAATCCGCACACTTTGGGTATAGATCGAGGCGCCAATCAACGAAGCGGCGCTTCACAAAACTTCGGTGTGATCTCCAAGCGACACGTCGTGCTCAACACCAAGCATGGACGGCTGGGCGAAGAGGCGAGGGTGCGAGTCAGCTAGAAAGAGGCAGACGGCACGAGCGTTCCCCCCTCCAGTTGCAGTCCATGACAAGTTCTAGAGCGATCAGTGCGGTATGCATCTACCTGCACAGTAGCGTTTCCCCCATCCGCATGCAGAAGAGCCAACCTGAATCGAGCTTCAGCTCTAACGTCATCTAGGCAATGCCCAGGTGGTATCTTACGCGTGTTGTGGGCGGCCTCCAGATGTCCTCCATTGCTGCCCGACTGCACACTGTTAGCGCGCAAAGTCATCCGATCGAAAGATGAAGCAAACCTCGCAAAAGATGCCGGATCGAAGATGGAATCGCGATAGCTCTTTCGCTTTGACGTTGGCCTTGACGTTGACCTGTTCCGAGGTCAGTGCGGGGAAGACGTTTGACGCGCCCTAGCGCGATCTGTTCCTGAGGTCCGTGCCGTCGCTTGCCAAGCACATCAGGATCACGTCACTACCCGCCATCCCATGTCGAGTCAGTCGAAGCTGCCGGCCACAGCAGCGAAACCCGCCTGGGCATCAAACAATGCCTTTGTGCAGGCGCACTACTCGAAACTCATGCAGAGATGCTGAACTGGCCGACAGGCTTATCCGAGCTTGGAATCATCCATCACGACCGATGAATGCATCTGCACCTTCGACCCGGATATTGGGCCGGCCCACCGTAAACCGTACGACATCTGACAGACGTCTGACAGGCAAGTCCCTGCGGTCGCATATGCGACTCCAACCAGAGCCGCATCTATTGGGTTTTGGCCAGCAGCTTACGTCTCAATCTGGCGAACCGTCCTCCCACCGCGACATCTGCAGCACAGCATTCGCTGTGCCCTCCGCCGCCCCTCCGGAACGCCAATGACTAGCAGATTCTACCACGGCGCTGCTCCCGACCGCTATTAAGCGCCCATGACATGCGTGCCCTTCATGTACTCGGGGCCGGTTGCCTTGTAGTTTCAAAGTCGCATCGAAGCTTGATTCGTCTTACGGCCTTGTCGCCCACTCTGCTGGCTGCGTGACATGCCTCTGTCCTCGGCGCGACGTCGGCACAATCAACTCGCCTCTGATCGGTAAGAAGAATGCATGCAGAAAGTTAAATCAATTACCTGCCGACAGACTGCCACAATGCTCCGCAGCCATAGCACAGGAAAACCCTGCATTATGATCTTCGCCATGCAGAACGACAACACGAATGTCTACAAACTCACACGTCCTTGGTCAATTGGGATAAACTCAAATCAAACGTGAGATGAGCTGAAAGAGTCCTCAACCTTTGCACGCGCGTCACGTCGCCGCCTTCACGGAGGACTGAATACTTCACTGCATAAGCGCTGGAGTCCTCCCACGACCGACTGGCTATCAGCGCTCCAACGCACGACGGTCCTCATCTCCTGTTATTGCCTCCAAACCTAGATCAGCAACATGTCTCACTGTCTTCATGCACGCTTTTCCGGTCACCGTGTCCTGCTCGGCGACTAAATTCCGGTGAGTGTAAGCGACGCTGCGAGGAGCGAGATTGGCATTCCGGTGAGTAGTTGACGTGTCAACCTCACGGACGGGCGAATTTGTGAGTAGTATGCGGCTCAACCGAAGCTCGGAAGTGGCTCGGGATCAAGGTAGGAATAGCAGAATTTCGACACTTTCATAGTAGCAGGAGGAGACATGAGAATTGGCTACTAAGAAGCTTTCATATTGAAAATGCACACCAAACTCCAAAACTACCTGCTTGCTAGTGCGCTCCAAAGATCACGTACGAGTACAATGAGACAACGACCGTGCCAGACAGTCTAGACGGAAGGGTAGTCGCGAGCTGAAGGCAAGGAAGCGTACCAGCCAACGAGGCTTGAGGGAAAATCCCCCAACATCATCATGCGTAAGAAGTAATGCACCAAGCGCCAAAACAGTAGGCTGAGTTGAACCCAAAGATGACTGCCGAAAACATAGACGCCTGGGGCTAGAACCCCTCAGCCGGCCCCCAAGTGCCCTCAACAAACATACTCATAAATATAAGGAAACCAGTTCTCTTCTCATCCTGTATCGTACCGTCGTGTTGTCATTCAACGTGATGTTCAGTTACTTCCGTTATGTTGTTGCTGCCCACGTTGATGGGCGTATGGGTCGTACGGCCTGTACTCCTCATACACTTCGTCCTTGTCGTACACCTCCCTGTCGCGTCTGATGTAGCCGACGGCATGGTAGGGCTCTGAGCGTTGGGGCGCAGTCGAAACCGACTGATAACCACCACTCAGAGGCTGATACTGGCCCGGAAGCGCACGGCGGTCTGCCGACGAAGCCGTGTGAGGCGGCGGCGATGAAGGGAAGTCGCTCTCAGACGGATGGTAAGACGAGATGCGCAGATGGGAGGACGAGTGGCTTGTCTCAAAGTGATGGGGCGCGCTGTAGGCGCTAGGCTGTTGAGCTTGAGGTGCTGTGTGTGAAGCTTCACCGTTGGTTGCGCCGTTCGCTTGCGGGTGATGAGACCATGGGCGATAAACTGGTGTGTATGTCGAGTCTCTATCTGGATCGTAGCGGGGGTTTTGTGTAGTTGGAGCTGATGCGTCTGCTCGTCGGGTAGACTGCGTCTTATTAGCGGCGAGCTTTAACATGGAAGATCAAACTATCTTACGTTTGCGTGCGGATCTCCGCGAAAAGTGCTATTAGCGCCGATACGGTCTGACCCGTACGAGCTGCGACCGGAGTGATGCTGAAAATCGCTCATCTTGTCTTGAGTGGACTAGTAGGTTGCGTGAAGGCGTCGTGTGTAGCGAATACCTTCTGAAAGCGGAGTGAGAGAAATGGAGGGATAGCCCAGATCACGAGAATGCGGCTGAAGGATCAAGCAGGTACAAGGGTGTGTGATGTGTCGGCGAGATCTCGTCCAGTCACTTGATACGTGGTGGGCTCGGTCGGACGTCAGATGAAGATGATTTGAAGAAAGAGTCTGGTGGCCAGTCTCAGTGTGAGCATAGGAAGCGGAAGTAAGTGAATTGTCGTGGGCGCAGAGGCGATTTAAAGGAGACGTGGACATGCGCAATAGAGTCCTTCCTCTCTTCAACTTATTCCCTGCAAACCCAGTTGCCCTCCTCAGGCATCCAGGCACACCGTGTGCCCCGTGCCCCCAAAAGCACGCGGGCCGCCTCCAGGAGGGGCGTGTCGCACGGTCTCCTGGATCCAGTTTCCCCAGGGTTTATTCAGTCGAACCACTTGCTGTCTATCGTGAGTCAGATAGCGGGTGTCGTCCCGAGGGAACGCTCTAGTGGAGGCATAGTAGTTCTCGAGGAAGGGATTCGGCCCTTCTCGCGTCGCGCCAGTCCTGTTAGATACCGAGTCGTGGCGAACCAGATCGGGACATTGTTTTGGTATATAGTAGTCCAATAAGAAAGCGCGAGGGCTTGGGAAGTCTTGGAGGCTGGGAGGACTCTCACTGGCTGTCCGCCAGGAACCTACCGCTACAGGTGATGCACATTGACAACAGCTGAAACCCGTTTACCAAGCCCACAAAGCTTTCTCAAAATTCGGCAGTGCTGGTGAAGGATGTGGTCCGAGCCGCATGCCGTGCGGTCGGACCCGATAGATCGGTAACGAGGCTGCTTTTGTCACCACTAGGTTGACTCGCCTTATGGCCCACAAGGTTTTGTGGACCGTTATATAGACCGTTAATATAGCGGGGCGGATCCAATCACTGATGTAGGATGGGACTTGGTCATGTTTGGTGCCACTAGGGCTGAAGATAGGAGAAGCCAATGGAGAGTCAGCGTCGAGTGAGAGTAGCTTTACCAATCGAAAAGACGAACGTGGTCAAGGGCGCGTATGCCTCCATCCCGTGGACAGTGCAACGCTTGTCCACAGCAGCGACCGCGTGGGATGACACGGACCTATGGCTGTTCCATTACGAGCTGACGAACTCGATACGATGCATGCAGGAGTAAAGCAGCGACCCTCTCGTCGTCACTTTTGACCTAACCTGCCCGTACCCGTCCCCAAGTAGAGTCGGCTAGGTCGTTAAGCCGCACTGACCGAACTTTAGGGCCTCGTGTCCAGGCTCGCGGGCTCGCTCATCTGACTACGGCAAGCTGGAGGCATGGTGTCTGCGTATCTTTGCCAAAACGAGCCCGTGGAAGAAAGCACATTGTTCGCACCGTTACCATGCCACACGCCTGTCTAGCGCTAGAGCCACGGTCCTCCTCCGATGTAATCTATTCGTCTTGAACCGGACGCCACTCTCAACGAGACTTCGGTAGCATAGCGTTGTGTGTGTGGATATTGCTTTTCCCACCGGCAGCAGGTCCGTGAAAGACGTTGTCGGATCGAAAAAGCCCCTTGACGCCCTTTGACGCACTTCTGCGCGTAGACTTCGGGACGTCATCCGCTCCGCGGCCAGGAGACAGCCTAGTCAGTCTGATTCCAGGGCATGACCCGATGTCAGCTTGTAGTTCCCATTGGCCACTTTCATGATGCAGCCCAACTCCGCCTTGTCCCGCAAGAGCAGAACAAGCGGGTGGAACTCATCACGAGCACGATTAAACTCGCTAAGAGTTTCGTCTATTTGAGCACACCCTCGTTATGTGTCCAAGCTCGTGAGTGGCACTAAATCTCGTACGGGTGATCGTCGGGTGGGCTGAGAGGGTATATGTGTGCGACATAAGTAGGCGTATCGAGCTGAAGTAACTGGTAACTGGCGTCAATCAGCACGTGAGGTTGAAGAGGGTAAATCCTAAGCAATCCAACGAAACCGGTAGGAGGTAGAGCCGGCAATAGAACTTACTGGCCTTTGAAGTCTTCCCCATCTGTACACCAACAGTTCCTTCATCTTCACATGCTATCAGCGGAACCTACTGACTAGTCTTCGCCGAGGTAGTGATAGGTAATATCTAGGAGAGTCCGACCGTACGTGTGAGAGGGTGGCTTTCAGTCATGCTCCGGTGTGCCTCAGGCATGCCTACCTGGCAGATAGGCATCGATGGCCTACAAGAGGGCGAGAGTGATCAGAAATACCCGTAGGCATGCTGGGCTGCAGGCTTCTTCCCTAAGTAAGTCTTCCAAGGTTGTTATCGACAGTCGTGGTGAGGTGATAGAAACGCGCATCACGACGCGCATCATCGCGCGACACGACTAGCTTAACCCCGCCGCCTAGTTAACGCCGCCGGGAGTGATGTCGCAACCCCAGAAACTCCCATATCGGCGCGCAATACCAACTCAACATGGCGAACCTCGACACTCTCCCACCAGAGATCCTCTTCACCATCCTCTCCTACACAGAACCCAACCTCAACCCCACGCTCTCCACCTACCCGCTCAACACCCTCGCCGCAACAAACAAGCATCTCAACGCCATCGTCGAAGAATACGCGCGCAACCTTCTCAAACGCCACGCCGACATCGTCCTACCGAAGAATACGCGCATATACACGTGCCGTCGAAAATGGCTGGGCGACATGTGTTACTTCTGCAAGAAGAAGACACAGCGGAAAGCGTGTTTATACAAGACCATAGCGTGCTGCCTGGCATGCGATAAGAAGGAGTATGAGAAGATGGTATGTACACCCCAGGGACTGGAAACGCCCCTTCATGTATGTGTGATAGTGCTGATATACCGGCCAGACAATGACACAAGCCATGCAATCCACACAGCTCTCTAAACTTGACCTGTTTACCCCGTCGCCATTGCAGCTCGATCTTCCGCCTTTAGTAACAGCACCATACCCCATCATGGGCGCTGCATGCATCATGCTCTCCGCCCCCGATGTTCGCGCCCGCGCCGCACACGTACGATCCCGGCTCGGTGACGCAGCGCGCGACGAAAGCTATATGCGCAATCGCCGCGCGAAACACGACCGCATTGTCAAACATTTGGGTATCACGTACGAGCCCACTTTGGGGTGGTACATGTGTTCGGATGCGTCGCGCAATGGGGATGGAGATAGGGAGGAGAAGGAGAAGAAGAAGATACCTGGGAGCATGCGCTCAGAAGAGAGTAGAATGGCGTATGCGGAGAAGGCCTTGGAGGAGGAGTGGAGGGCGTTGGGGATGGGTGGGTTGGTAGCGCGGGATACGGATTATATGGCTTGTGTGAGAGGGCGGCGAGGAAGAAGAAAGGAGAGAGAGATCGTGATTCTGGAATAGCAAGGTGGAAGGGAGAAGTCATAGCAGAAGGTGCAATGCGCGCATTAGTGGCTTAGTATATATCTTCTACTTTGCATATGTGCGTGCTGTAGAAGTTTTACCTGCAGTGTAGCGCTTATATTCTCTTCTTTTACAAAAGCATACAACTTAAGTAAGGTTAAGAGATATGTCGCGCACGTCTTTGCCTAGGATGTTTACTAAAATGTCTACTTGAGAGTTTGATAGCGAGGAATGCTAAGGCTTTAGGAGGTAGTATTAACGAAACCTTTGGAATGTGTTGTAGGCAAAGGCAATGTAGAATGCATAAGGTAGAAGATGTAAAGGCAAGAAGGTGAGAAGTCAAGAAGTCAAGAAGAGAAAAAGTCAAGAAGTCAAGAAGGGAAAAAGTCAAGAAGTCAAGAAGTCAAGAAGGGAAAAAGATGTAATGACAAAGTTGGTTGATTGAGGACCCAAGAATGCCAGCTAAGCTAAACCACCACCACCGTTGAAACCCATACAAGAAGTCCATGTTCCATCCAGCCAACCAAGAAGATATTCAAACACCACCAAGTCCTTGCGCCATCCAACCACCACCACCAAGTCCAACCATCCACCAAACCAGGGCTCACCAGCAGCGATGTCAAGAACAGTGCTCGTCGAACATGCCGACACTCCACTATCATCACCAGAATTGACCTGAACTTCCGAAGAAGCCGCCATCTGGTTCAGATAAGATGATCAACCATCCTGGGGTCCGAAGACACCCAAGAGAACAACAAGAGGCCCAGTGTAGCGCAAGCGCCATTGACCGTCTGTCCTCCAACCTTGTTGTCTCGAGGCACTCTCGAGATGGCATCAACATCCAATGTGAAAGTGTCCAACAGTGACAGTGACTGAACTCAACACCACCGATCCGCCGCTCTTGCCAGTCCTTCTGATCCAAACCGCTACCAACTCAAGGGCCAACCATGCAGCCTGGCCTGCATCCCTGTGCCACAACTTGACTTTCGCGACGCGCGTACGATCGGGAGTGGCGTGAGACTGTCGACAGTCAAGGGAGAATCGAGCCGGTGCCAGAGAGGTTGGTGCCTGTGCCGCGGTGCCGTCGGTGGTGGTGCATGTCGATGAGTAGAGGCAATGAGCCGATGTAGTAAGACGATGCGAGTTCGATGTGGTAGTAGGGTAGACCGAAGGTGATATGGGTGTCAAGATAGTTGAAGGTCGAATCGAAGTGAGGTAGGTAAGTTGAACCGAGGCGGGTGTGAGTGAGGCATGCGAGGCGGTGATGTTGAAGGCGAGGCTGAAGGTTGGAAGTGAAGTGAAGTCATGTTGACTGTCGACAGTCGGGTGAGGAAGGGTTGATGTTGTTGTTACTCATGATGATTGTTGATAGATGATGTCATACATCATGAGCAAAGGCCGATGTCTGAAAGTGTTAGCTAAAGTGAAGTGAAGGAAGGGAAAGGAAGTACTTACTTAGAGAAGTGTGGCCATTGAACTGAAGTTTTTTGGGGATAGTTAACTTGAGTTGTTGGGGGATTGAGCGAGTGGGGAGTAAGAGGGAGAGAGGCGGGGGGATGGGGGGTTTATATAGACAGAGGGTGAGCCGGCAGATCACCGGCAGTCGGCGCTAGCGCGTCTGAATACCAGGTGACTGACGTATTCTGTGAGCATATTGTTGCCTGGAGAGCGTTCTAGGCGTGTGATATGGCCTGATCTGGTGAGGTGAAGGCGCAAGTGAAGGCGGCTTTGGGAGCGCGAAAACAACAAGAAGCACGGACCAGAAGCGCACATTACGACGACGACGTTCTGATTGGCTTACCAAGTGAGAACAGCGGAAAATCGGCAAAGGAAACTTCTGTAGATCGACAGTGACGGGGAGTAGAATTGAGAGTGCGTAGTGACTGTCAGTCTTGTGACGTACATTCAGTGACGTCGAATGCGAACAATGGAATGAGCGAGACTGAACACGTGCATAACAATGGATCTTTTGCCTTGATGAGGAAAGGAAGAAGCGTGAAGTGAAGCACTAAGTGCCTTGAGGATGGAGAAGACAGTGACGCCCGAAGGCGGTAGGGGGTTGCGATGTTGTGATTATGTGTATGAACTCTTAGCTTTTATGTCAACGTGAACTTGGCTTTTATCATTCTCTATAAGATAAGGTACATGGGATGGTGTTGCGCTGCTGTCAGATACTTTCTTCGTAATAGGTTCTGTCGGTCGAGATTTAAGATCATCGCCGTCGTGATCCCCGCTAATTCCGTCGTGGTCGAAGATGATGCCGTCGCCTCCGTATTCGTCAATTTGTAGCGGCATAGCAAGCAACTGCTCTTGATACTTGGCGACATCAAGTTTGGTGAAAAGATAAGCAGAATCATAAGCATAGATGTCGCCTTCAACTCCGAGGAGACATCCACCGCCCCTCGATCTGAATAGAGCCCCTGAGTTTGCTCTGTATATGATATACGAGTTCTACGCAAAACAAGCAGCTGTTCAGGCCCGGTGATGACAATAGTACTGCTGGATCAAAGCTTTCGGGACGACGCCTTTTCGCTAGCGCAATAGTAGATCGTAAATGTTGGACCAGACGTGGATCCGGCAGCATACTGGTTCTTCATGTGAGGTTTCCGTAGCTCTTTCTCCACTCGACGTAGAATGTCTCTTGGGCAAGACACTATGATGGAAGGCGACGGTGGCGCATTTCCAGGTCCACACATGGCGGCGGTGAAGAAGACCAACGTGGCGAAGTCGGAAAGTCTTGATGGCCTCAGGCTTTTGTGTAACCAGATTTGTTTTGTCTTATACATAGCCTGTCCAAAACTATTCATGACATGTTGAGCAGCAGCGGAATGTTGAGAGCTGAGTTGGAAGTGGGGGTATTCATACACAGTTGAGTGGGCCGTGCACCCGAGGAGTTTCTTGGGGTCTCTGAGCCTCATATCTGTGGGCGCATTCGCAGTCTCACCCGTCACCTCAGCTCCGGGTGGGCTTGTCGATGGATTTTTAATCGCAGGTGAGGGCTCGTTGACTTGGGATCCACCAGGGTGTTGATTTCGACTTTGAGACGATACAGAAGGAGTGCGTGCGTTTGATACCAGTTTGACGACGTCTCGGAAAGTTGTCCTAATCTCATCAGCAACGACTTCCATTGTTGGCGATGATCGTTACCGGTGCTGCCCATGATGCTCAGAAGTCGACAAGGATGCCGCGAGAGATTGCCATGGTCGGGATCGAGTTGACGTTGCCATCCTCGCAAGTACGAGAGTGCTGAGCGTACAAACGGTCGATTTAAGTCTCCGGTTCCCCTGCAATTTTGAAGAGTCCTTTGATAGTTTCCTGTGAAGTGTTAACAAGAGATCGATTAGGGAGACAAAAGGCTGTATGTCGAATGTGTCAGGAGTAAAGCATGCCGGCTAATGCCAGCAGAACAGGTGGCAGCTAGAGAATGGCGCACGGCGCCACCGCAGTCCAATTGGACTCACGGGTGAGCGAGTGACGTCAGAAAACCTTGTACTACACCAAAGCTGAAAGAGCTGAACGAGTTGATCATGCTGCATGATAGTGTTCGCGCAGCCATAAGCAGAATACGCGAGCACTCAAATGCATGATGATTTGGTAGGCGAGAGGATCTCTGTCATTATCGTGGATGATATAAGGCACCTAGCCGTGCTGAGATTCCAAAGTCTTTTGGTAGCATACCAAGCCAACATGGAACCGCCAACAGCCGACGAAAAGTGCAAAATCGCGAAGAGATTCCTCAGTGATAAGGCTGCTACGGAGTTGGAGAGGCATGGGTTCTACTTCAAATACTACGATGCGTTGTTCGGCAAGAAGCCTGGAGATGACACGACGCCAGCATACTTGACTCATGGATACGTGGTTTTATACTTCGGTACCCTCATTCGCTATACGTGGCAAAACAAAGGACAGTTCAGCGCAGAATTTGCAGCAAATGTCGACGTCAAAGCGCGGGAGAGCGCAATACGCGCATTACTACAGGCATCACTGATGATCGATTGCGCCTCCAAGCAAAACCTGGTTGAAGGTCGCAACGTGGGAGATTTTGTTAACCAGACCTGGAAGGAAGATCAGCCTTTTGCTCGGTTTGTTGAATGCTGCTTTCCTTCACACGCCTTCCGGAGTCCCGAAGTCCGCAAAGCGAGTCAGACCGCACTGGAACAGCGAGGCAGGCTGAAAGCGTGGAAGTTGACCAAGCATTTCAAAGTGAGGCTGCGACCGACCGATAACCTGGCTGAACACCTTGTATTCGATTCAGAACGTCGTATCCTTCACGTCTTCCGTCACGTCGGGTTCTTGAAGGCGCACCTCTACCGTTCGCGTGATGAGGTCGTTGATATCAGCGTCGGGAATAGCCTGGAGAAGTAGCTTACCCCTGTACGCGCGCTTTGATTTTTTGGCAGCGCTCATACTCCACAGGGGAACTTTGCCACCACAACTCCTGCTGGAAGTCCTCGACTCGATACAGTATCTTCTCTTCCCGAACGATGCCAATTCCGCGAAGTCGCTTGCCAGATTCATCAATAAATACGATTTCGATCCAACAGCTGACTACTACGGGGGACACATCCGTACGCTACCACATGGCTTTGAGTACAAATACTTGGGCGATCGCTCGGCAAAGCTGTTGGATATAGTCAACAATCCACCACTAGGTAAAACCGTAAGATACCTCGAGAAGCATACATCGGCAAGGCATAACATGACCATAGCTGTCGTTGGGCTGTTTTTGACGGCCCTAATGGGCTTCCTCGGTCCGTATATCCACCAGCTCTTCCCGTCATATGAACGTGTTGGACGGTTCAGGACTGACGTCTGCTAGGCGTGCTTGTTGGTCTTGTCGCCCTGATCTACAGCATAAAGCAATACAATATCAGTCTTCAGAGCTTACAAGCCTCGCCGACATCGCCGTAATCGTGTTGTAGTGGTGTTCGCGGTCGGTAGTAGGTTTGGACGGGCAGGAGCGGGTCCGGTGACGCGATGGAGAGCAGCGCGCGCGCTATGACGTGACGGCTTTGAGCATTTCGTAAACGATGCTGTGATGTTATGGTTAGAGTGCTAGAGTGTCGATGGAGTGTGAGGTTTGGTGCGAAGGGACGTACCGAAGGGTACCGGGGTGAGGCGGGGAGGCTAGTACGCTGGCCGCGCCGCACGCCAGGCACAACCCAGGAAGCACGTCAGAACCATCATTGTACAGATCAACTGTCGTTTGACTCATAGCTTTGCTGCGAGGAGTGATAATGCGACAGTGCGTTTCCATCCTAATTGCAATTGGACTGAAATTTTGTTCAGGGAGTCTATATGCAAGAACGAGAAGGAAAATATACGAACACATAGAGACTGCGGCTAATGCTCCCCCGATATGATCGCAGGGAGCGTCCATGGTATCTCTGATGCCGCCACTTTATCCCTCTCCTCATATTCATACCACAAACGCCCTAAGCCTATGAGAAACTCCATAATGTGAATCTTGAGCCCATCCTACGGGGTCGCCGTCCATGCGGCCGAAACCGATATCCATATAAACACCCTTGCAACGCCATCGATATGTGTATATGCTGAAACGCCTTATCATCGTTTTCATGCCTGCTCGTTGATATGACCATTCGTGGTAGTCATAACAGGAACATGAACCTTGACCGTAGAAATATGATCCACCTCATCCGTCAATTCCACCTCTGTCGTCTGCCCCTCGGGTATCATCTTGTGTTCCAGCGTCCACCCCGCCCTGCGCGCCAACTCCGCAACCACGACGTCGCAGTCGCCAAGCAGGTTGATGTCGAAATTGATGTGGTGGATGGGATCGCGCGAGATGTAGATCTGCGGTATGTCGCGGGGGAGGAAGTTCGGGATTTCGGATACGGGGGCGACTTTCATGGAGGTGCCCATGACGATAACGAGGTCGACCTTGTCCTTGTCGACGTCTTTGAGGCGGTCGAAGAAATCGTTGGGCAGGGCTTCGCCGAAGAAGGTGATGTCGGGCTTCATGATGCCGGGCTGCGGGATGTCGAAGGCGCCGTCGGACTCTGAGTCTTCGTCGCTCGAGCGCTTCTTACGGGCGCCGTTGCCGTTGGAGGTCCGCTTGCGCTTCTTGCTGGGCTGGGCGGCGATTTCGTCTTTGCAGCGTCTGCACTCGGCGGGCTTTTGTGCGCGCACACAGTCGAAGATGTCCTCGCCGGGGACCTTGAACTTGCACTTCCGGCATGTTGCCGTCGCCCAGGAGCCGTGGCACTGGATGAGCTTCTCCTTGCGTATGCCTGCGTGTGCCTCCACATTGTCAATGTTCTGTGTGTAGTTGGTGAGCAGCTTCTCCTTGTCCTGCAGCAGGCGGATGAACTCGTGCGTGGGCGTCCACTTTTCGAGATCGGGTATGATGTCGCCGGCGAGGGCGTAGAAGGTGCGGGGGTTCTCGTCGAAGTTGTGGATGTCAAAGACCTCCTCGGGCTCGTCGTAGCCCATCTCGCGCAGCCGCGAGTAGAAACCCGTGTTCTTGGAGCGGAAGTCGGGTATGCCAAGACTGGTCGATATGCCGGCGCCCGTGATGACCATGATGTTCTTGCGTTCGCGCAGCAGCTTCGCAGCGTCGTCGATGGTCTTGTACTGCGCCAGCCGCGGCCGCTTGTTCAGCTCGCGGTTGATGGCCAGCCCCAGCAGCTGGTAGAAGCTCTCGTCGGGCGCTTCTTCGAGAAACTTGGGAATCTTGACGCCAAAGGCAGTGCACAGCTTGCGCGCCGTCATCTTCTCGCTCGTGATGTTCTCCATGACGAATGCGCTCGCGCCAATCTCGTGGAGCCGCTGGCGCAAGCGACGGGCCTCGTCGGCGGTGCACGTGTCTACGCCTATGGGGTGTCAATGGTGGTGGAAGTGGAAGGCGCATGCTGGCCAGACTCACCATCGTCCGAGTACTCAAAGGCTTCCACTTCGTCTAGAATCTCCTCGTACAGGGAGGCCTGGTCCCACGCGCCGCCATCGTCCTCATCCTGATCGGGCGCAGGCGCGGGCGCGTCCTCGTTCCGGGGCTTGGTTGCGCCTCCCGCTCCTGGGTCGGCCTTGATAGCGCCAGCGGGGGGCGGAGCGGGGTGCTGGGCGACGGCGGGTCCCTCGTCGGGATGGGCAGCCATGGTGTTGTCTCCCGCGCTGCTCGCTGTCGGCCAGTGTTACGAGTCTCAGACAGAGCGAAAGGTGGTCCGTCGGGTAAGTTGACGATACATGACGCTAGGCGATAAGGGGCCGGGCGGAGATGGCCGCATCGGTTTGCTAGCCTACTATCCACCCGGACTACTTCGGTGCACATGCACTACGACTTGTCGTCTTCTTCTTCGCCAATCTCAGCATATATCAGTATGCAGTATCGAAAATATGTGCATGAGCTGCACACTGCTACACAGCTGCCCGGGATTCTCGACCAATAGACGAATCACAGCAGCAGCAATGCAGCTTTCTGCACACTTCTCCCCTCGTTGGTGGGAAGCTCCGCTGTCCTGCATGCTTCTACTCGTCACTTTTTGACCTTTGTCCTGTATAAGGTTCACGGCCTGTTCTATAACCAAGGTGAAGAGTCTGCTCGTTTTCATTCTGTCGCTCTTTTCCCCTCCTCTTCATGGCCTCAATGACTACCGTCGCCTCAGGGCTGGTCCCTTCTTCGCTTCCTACTACTGGACGGTTGCTGGTTGACAGTCACGAGAATCTTGTGCCACCACATCCAATTCCAGCCTCGCCTAAAATTCGTCACCGCGGGGCAGTCGCATTGCCCAATCCACTGCAATACAGCAACGTCATACCTTCATCTTCCCACGTCAAGTTGAGCAAGTTGGAAACGCTGCCTGTCGAGATCGTGGACCAGATACTGTCCTACCTCATTCACCCGTGCTGTCGGCTGCCGGGTCTCACTGAGACTCAGAGTAGATACGACGTGTCGGAGAAGCAGAAGCGGAGCATCAAGGACGAAGAAGACTTGACTCAAGGTGCAGACAGTCAGCGCTGGGCTGCCGATATCTTCTCTCTTCATGTACTTCCACATCCTTTCAATGCCCTGTCGCGCACATCCAGACGGTGTAATGAGTTCGTGGAGGGGTACTGCTCGCATCTCGTTCGACAATGCAACATATTCAATCTGCCATTCGCCCAGCTGGATAGGTACGGTGCCGTCCATCCAGACATGAGTCATATCGTATATCGACGACTATGGCTGCAACATGCCCCACGGAGGTGTATCTATTGCTTTGCGGCATTAGACACCTATCCTTTTCCACTTGTCAAACGCATCATCACGGCTTGTGAAGGATGCTTCTACCGTCAGACCTTGGTGCGTCCATCCCATTAATCCTCTCCACTTTTGACAGCATGCACTGACAAATATGCATAGACCGTCGATGAAGTGCAAATGCAATATCACATCTCCGCAGCCACCGTTCTCGCTTCTCGCCATATCCGAGGCAATCCCGGCTCAGTATGGGTCTTGCGTGTTGACGTAGAAGCGCTAGCCCTACAACTCTACCGTACTCGAGAATTCCACAATGCCCGTAAGGAGCAATTCGGCAAACCGTGCTCAATCTGCGCTATCACTAGATTCAGACCCGGGCATCATATCGGCAAGCCGCGACCGGTTCAGAAAGCTGCTGTCCGCTTGATTGCGAAGACGCGGTCTACGAGGCGTTCAACACGATCTTCATGAATAGACGATAACATCTCGGACGCATACCTCTATCAATACCCTTCTCCCTACCGCAGCAACAGCAAACGCTTTTACTGAAAACATACTTCTCCTTACGCACACATGTCGCATTTCCTTCCGCCTTCCAGACCCCGAGAATACGGTGGGGTCAGTACATCTGTCATCCCCCAGCACGCACATTGTAGATCTCTCATCTGCGGATTTCTTATGGGCCCTACACAATACATCAATGGATCATGTACACTAGGATCTTTTGTAACAGATTATTGTGTCAAGATTGCATACTTTGTGGGAATGGCTATTCCTTACGCTTCGTGTCAGCATCTTGTTAATGTACGCCTCACTTGCCGCTTCGAATACATTGGCAATTATTTTGTTCCCTAACATGACTTGCTGGACCTTATCGTGGTGCAAATGTATTTCAATGCCTACATCATATGTGCTCTCGTGCGTAGGTGCCTGTTCATGCTCATGCGCAAAACTTCCCCATACCCATCAGTCACAGATGTAGTCTAATTAAATCAGAGACGCAGAGTAACCCAAACATACTCTGAAGATCCAATGATGATGTCTGTGAGACTGCGAATAATTGCTCACATGTCAACGCGCCATGCCCCGCGTCATAGGCCCGCGCAACGCGTCTTGCCGAAACCCCACGCGACAAAAGTTCGGCCCGCAATCTTTCGCGCAGCTCCAACACCACCAACACTCCTTCACACCCACTCTTGCGCGCGCGCTTCCCTCATACTACCTCACGATGCTCGACATCCACCGCCCCTCCTCCGCCCCCGACACGAAAATCTTCTTCTCCCACAGCCTCCTCCCCAGCTACATCGACCCGCAAAATGTCTCCACGAAAAAGAAACCCTTCTCCGCCTTCTCTGCGCAGAAATACAGCCACACGCTCTCCCTCATCCTGCCCGAGGAAATGTACCACTTTATACAGAGGGAGATGACCCTCGACGGCAGCCCCGCCCGCACCAAATACGCACGCGTCCACATGTCACTCTCCGAAATCCTCGAAGCCGACTTCCTGAACACGTATATCAAGCAAGGCAACATCATGATGCTGAGCGAAGGACGAGCCTTGCTGGACGATCGGTTCGAGTTGTATAACGGTGTGTTGCGCATGGAGCTTACGCGGCCGTCGTACGAGCGCTGCGGGTTGCAGGGTGTACCCGTGGAGGACGGGGGCAGGAAACACCAAAAACAGCGGTGGGTTGTGGAATATAATTTACGTGAGAGCAGTATGAAGCATGGGAAAAAAGGGTTTGGGAGGTTGGAGTGGGCGGCGAGGAATGTGTTGGATAGGAGTTTGACGTGGTTGTTTTGGAATGCGAGTGTGACGTCGAGGGAGGCGCTGGGAAAGGGCAGGGAGTTGATTGAGAAGCATGCGCCGTGGGTGTGCGATGTTCTGCCTGAGGAGAGGAGGTTGGGTGGGGTGATGGTACCGAGGGTGAGTGTTGCGGGGCTGAAGGATGTTTATGATGAGGATGAGGCGATGGGGCTGCTGGAGTGGATTCACATGCTTCAGCTGGGATCTCCAAGGGTCGAGGCGGGCGATGATATAAACCCGCATTTGTCGCGCTACGAAGTGCCTGATCTGGGTCGAGGCGTTGGGGAGAGGAATATGGTTACGGTTAGGTGGAGGGGCTTTATGGGACCGGCTTTTATGCGCGATCTTTTTCTGCTGGTGAGGAAGGAGGGGTTTAAGAAGAGAGACAAGAAGGTTAATGGGACTCAAGATACGGATGTGGATATGGATATGGAGGGAGGAGATGGGGTGGAGAGCGAAGAGACAGACTGGTTCGCAATGAGCGCGCAGGCTTTTGGGGGAAAGAATGCGTGGACGGTGATGCAGTTTGAAGGCCGAGAGACGCTAGTTTGGGAGATGGAGAGTTGAGTTGGGATGATGGATGCGATGAACCCAAGCCTTCGTCTTCCCATTCATCATCGTCTTCGACATCATACGACAGGCTTAAACCCTCCGGACCACCAAAGCCATCGTATCTCTCATACGACCATCTCCATCCTGAGTAAGGACTCAACCACCTATCCCCCGTCGCCATCCACTTCCCTTCAATCCGGATCAAAGGAGCCTCAAACCCCGTACAAACACTTGGCCTGCATCAATTCGGGATATCCATTCTCGCCCAGCCATTTCAGGTGTACATGTACCACCTCCTTCGCAACCATCACGCATTCCCTGCATGGCGGCGCTTCCGAGACTTGTTGGGACCCTGCAGCATGCTCGTTTTCTTGGCTTAGAGAAACCAAGGAAACCAAGGGTACTATCTCTGGTGCGCCGTGTCGGAAATGCAGGGTGCGTGAGTACTAGAGTACTGCGTGTGCTGGGACACGACGTTGCCGGGAGCCATGTGACGGTCCTGCTGTACCTGTACTCATAGCCCACGTCGTCGCCGGCAGGGTTCAGGTACTGCGTTGCGGTATACGTGCAGTACAGGTAGTGGTGTAGTCTACAACACATTGATCGCGGAAGAGAGGACACGGGTATGAATATGTCGATGGAGAATAGTATTTCGATACAATATATACAAAAGAATATCGCTACGTCGAGAAGTTACAGCTCAACCCTCTAGCCCAACCAGAAAACGCCATGCACCAAACCCCATTAACCCACAACCAAGACGGAAACCCGTCTAAATACCAGAATCAGTCTGGTTGTATGGCCTATCCCCATCTGGCGCGCTGCCCTCGGCCCAATAAGAATCCCACTCATCACATCCATTCTTCAACACACTCGTGTCGCCCAGTGTGCCCTTGATTTCGCTCATGCGCTCCATAAACTGGAGGCTGAGTCCCTGGCTAGCATGCCATGCGATGTGACTAGAAGAACGAAGTCAGTATATGTCTCAGATGCACTTCATACAGGGATTGACTTACCAATGCATAATCCACATGCCGGGGTTGTCAGCAGGGAAAGCAATGAGCATGTAGCCACCCGCGGGCAACAAAGCAGTGTCACGACGAGTAGGATTGTTGAAGTTAAGACCGTTGGTAGATCCGTCCCAGGTACCTGCGCCGCGACCGACGATGTAGTAGTCGTGGCCGTGGAGATGAATGGGGTGGGGAAGAGCGATTTTAGAGGTCGACTGGATGTACCACATGTACCAGCCTTCTTTGTCCATGGTGTACACGTTGCCGTTTGGACCGATGGAGCGGGAGCCCCCAAGCACGGTTTCGAGCGAAGGATTGTTCCAGTCTACGACGTGGGGCGTGCCGTCGATTAACCACCGGAACAGGTTGTCCTTCGCAGGGTCGGCAAACGAGTCTACACTCATCTTGTGGTTTTGGACCTCGCCCATTACGGAGGTAGGGACGGTGTTGGGGACGAAGGGGATGAGGTTGGATGAGGACTCGTCGTCGCAGCCTGCGCGCATTGTGACTGAGGACTTGAAGGTGGGGTTTGAAGTGCTGGATGCGCCGTCGTAGTGCAGGATCGCGCCGACGGGCTTGCCGGCTGAGGCGATCTTGTTACTGCCGCAGCTGCCGGTCACGACGCGGAACCAGTAGTTGTCGACGGTTTGGTTGGCGGTGATGACTACGTCGTACCGTTGACCGATCTGCAGGGTCAATTGGTCGGTGACGTACGACTTGATGGGCACGAAGTCGGAGGTGAGGACTGTGAAGGGGTGGCCGTCCATGGACACGCTGAATGTGCTGTCTACGGCGGTGTTGATGAGGCGGATGCGGTACTTCTTTCCTTTGACGACGTTTATCCTGGCGTACTTCCCGTTGTCGTTTGCGGCGTTGATGTGTGTGCCGTTGACGAGGATATTGTCGGGCGAGGGGGGTCCACGCTGAGAGTGCTGGGCGACTTCGTTCAGTGTGAAAGCGGGTACGTAGTACCAGTCAGTGATGGGGAGAGTACCCAGGTCGACGTCGTAGTTGGCAGTAGCTGGTCCATCGATAATCATGGTACCGACAACACCATCGCCATATTGGGCTGAGAAGTGAGAGTGGTACCATGTTGTACCGAACTGAGTTGCCCTGAACTTGTACTGGCGGGTTCTTCCAGGAGCAATCGGGCATTCGGTTATTCCCGGGACGCCGTCGTCCTGGCAGGAGTTCAGCTGTCTAATACCGTGCCAGTGAATACCGGTTCCGTTGTGCTCGAGGTTGTTCTTGACGTTGATGATGACTGTGTCACCCCACTTTGCTCGCACGAGTGGTCCAGGATATTGGCCGTTGATGAGCATCATTTCTTTGGAAGTACCACTTCCATCGGGGTTGGCCCTAGTAACATTCGAGATCTCGAAGTTGTACTGTCATATGTCAGCACCTATTCGAGCAGGAATCCTTGGATACACTTACAGTCACGGTGGTGCCATCCGGGGGAGACTTGGCATCGAAGTCGGTGGCAATGCTGTAGCCATTACTCCAGCAGTTTCGTGTTCGTGCTGTGTTGGTGCAAGCACCATCTTGCCTCTTGACAATCTGGTCAAAAGTTGGGAACTCATCGGATAATGGCTCTGCACGTAGTGGACCAGCGAGTGCAACTGATCCAAATGAAAGCCATGCGGCTAATGAAGGAAACAACATGATGGTGTGAATGCAATATATCAATGCGAGGAAAGAACGGTACCGGGTCGGTATATATGAAGAGATGCTGACCAGGCCAATGGATGTCGAATGGTTCCTGGAGTTAATCAACGTAGGGCTGGGGCTGACCAGAACACAGGTGCCATTTATATGAGACACATCCGAAAGACGCCCCCAAAGTGTAAGTCATCAAATGGTGGCGGTAATCTGAGCTTCGCCCTGGGCCATACCCATGGCGAAGTCAGCCAGCGCCTACTTTGCCGTGACACCGACTTTTTCTCGCTTAGTGCTGCACGTCAGTTGGACCCGCGTGGTCCAGGTGGTGAGATCGACGCCAGGGCGCCCTAGAAATGCTCATCTCGTACTATGACACGGGGTGGACTTGAACGATCCCGGCCGTGGATAGCTGATGATGAGGGCCGATTAGGCAAATGTCTGGCCTCGGTAGATACAGCGACCGATGGGCTGAAGCTCAGCTATGGCAGTGGCTCGCTTACGTCCATGTCGGCGAGCGGGTAGGAGAGAGGCGAAGTCGATGAAGCCAAGATCTCAGACGGTGCACGGATCTAGCTCCTAATCGGGATTCCGGTATGGAGGGACCACACCAGCGCTAAGTCAGTGGTAGTTCCAACTTTACTCGAAACGGTGCGTGATGAGCGACCTACTCGTGTTGGAGCGTTTTCTTAGGTGAAGGATCCTAGGAGCTCGCGTAAGGTGATGGACCCTTGTCGGATGCAAGATCTATTGAATTACAGATCGGGTACTCCGCAAGATACGGCCGCTATTCGAGCATACTCTGTGCTCACCGGAGACGAGAGCCCACATGGAGTGGTCAGATGTGGGTACTGACGTTGTGAAGGATATGCCTTAGGCCTGATGCAGAATCTGTTTGCGACGTGACAAAAGCATCGAGAACGCAAGCTACTCGTGCGAAGCATGTGGCCTAACCCACGCGATCGGAAGACGGGAATACGACCGTCCCATCCGGTACCGAGGAAGCTTATCTAGGTGGTTCCAATCAAATTTCGAGCTCTGTTACCAGAATAACCACGTAGGGCATAAACGATAAGTGAGCAGGGATCAGACAAATCCCAAACCCACTGGTTCTTCGAGATGATACCCTCAGCCGAGGTCATAATCAGGCTGACAGAAGTGCCCAAGACAGCGGTATCCCTTCCGGTCGCTTGCTGACGTTGAACGTCCAATATGGACACTGAGACCCCCTTGGGCTGTGGCGTAGACCGACTCCAACATACACGGGCTTATCAGGATCTTCATAAGCTACATGGTGTGTAGGAGGACTAAACGCTCGGTATGGCATTGCCATTATTCGCCGACTGCAAGTTGGCATGATGTGCCTTCCATGCATGCTGTGTAGCTCGGCATGCGGGTCCAGGGATGACCTTCCGACCCGTGAACTTACTCGGTGGCTTCGAACAACCAAAATCTAGGTCATCCACCCAGATGAACGGCCGACAGGGCGGCCGCTAGGAAAGCTTGTGACTATCGCATTGGATGCGACTATCTCGGAAAATGGCATGCGCCCGCGAATAGACACGAACGGGGAGAAGGAAGTGCGAATTTCAACGCTCGGATCGGCATGCGCGGCTGCTGGAAACGCGCTGGAAACAGGAGCGCGGGTTCATCAGCGACTGGCCAGCCTATCGTTAGTAAGATCGACCAACTGAGCGGGCGGGTTTGCTGCAAGTTGGTGCAAGAATATGCGGACGTTGGGGCCGAGTGAAGTGACGTGAACACTAGGATCGGTTCAGGGGTATGGGCGCTAAGCCTAGCACGGACCGGCACTAATTCCAGTGGCTTTCCATAGCGGCCGCACACATGGATGCCTTCGCCTCCTCCACTAAGCACCACTTTTCTTCCTTCTGCAGAGCGATGCAACGCCTTACGAGGGCTAAGTACTGATGAGGCGCAGAACTGCGCTTGATGTCTTTACGAATTGCTGACCGCCCGCCCCGCCCACCTGTTCCAGTCTGTCACAAGCTCGCTTCCGTGTTGACACTGTTAGATCAAGCACTTGCCATGACTATTTTCATTGCATCTTCGATCCATGTCGGCTTACTCGGGGGTCGGGGCACAGCTCAGTGCGCAAAAGATAAGCCGTATTTGTGAAGAACCTGCTGGGCTTGATCATCATACAAGGTACAAAAGAGGTCATGGCCCACTGACTCTGCATACCACATCCAGCGTATCATACCTGTACTTTCAGTCGTTGACTTGACTTGCTTCAACATGTACTCTCGTTCTATGTTCCTCGCGGTGGCTGCCGCCTCCATCACTCTCGTCAAAGCCGATGACCCCTTCGGGAGCTCCGGTGGTATC